GCATTCGGGCATTGTATACTTTTCATCCAACGCTTGGAAACATCGGTTCAGAACATGTGAAGGTTTCCACCCGTCTTCTACCTAAACGTATAGTTACACATATTTTCCTCCTGCTACCTAAGGTAACAACTAAAGATAACAAAAGACTAAACTTGCATCAACTGCTTCTTTGTTAAAGTTTGCTGATGCAGTCTGGTTAGTTTCACGCATCACCTCAACGCTACATTTCTCCTAAACCTGATTCATTGGTCAATGAGAAAAACATCCACAGCATCAATGAACAGAGAGGTAAGCGGGGAGGAGAGGATGCTGGTCAGACAGACGCAGGTTAGAGGAGGGTTGTGATTGAATGAATTGGGGGTGAACAGAGCTGCTGAATAGAGCAGGGTGTGAAATTTTAACATAAATGTAGCCTGAGCAGCGAGTATCGAAAAGGGTTGAGTACCAAAGGTAGGTCTTCAGTTTTGAACTGAAGTTAGTGTATTGACATGAGCCCAAAACAAACATCAGTTGATAAATGGTCTGGCTAATGGACAAAATAATTGTTTTTTTACTTAAAGGTGATTGAACTTTTCAAAAAGTGTGGAAAAAAACCACAATATTTGCTGATTAAATATTTGCAAACGCAAAGCGTAACCTTTTTCTTTCAAAACGTATTTTAAAACATATTCATATTCTGAGGTATTTGTATGATGGTAAGCAATGTTAAGGCATTGCTCTGGACTTTAGTAAATATTAAAGTATTTTCTCTGGTGAATTTTTGGAATAATAAATTATAAAAGTGATCATTTATGTAGCCCTGGTAAAGAGTTAAACAAATGTTGTACTTTTTTCTAAAATTAAATGTTGAGTTTCAATCAAGATCTTCACACGTGTTTGAAAGAGAAAACTTTCTGCTTTAAACTTCCTGCCCTCTGCTCCACTTGGCTCAACCACTCTCCCTCAGTGGTTAAGGTCTAAGTATAGAAACTATTGACACTCCTCAACAACTGGAGCCCTGCATCAATACTGCTGAAACTCAAATACCCACAAATGAATGTGCTGAGGGAAAGTACAATAGAGAATTGTACTGAATCATACCTGTAACAAAACGAGCTCTTCACTGTGTGTGTGCATATTTCCAGTCAAGTTTTCATTCCAGCAGCAAATACTGATCTACACTGTGAGTCCACACAAACCGCAAGTTATTATTTCAATGACCTTTTCAAATCGGAACCGGTGTCTTGTCAAGTTTTACACAAAACAAGCTTGAAATTGCAGCAAATTCATCATGAGACAGAGGCTTCAGACAACATTTGCATACTGTATATGGAAGTCAAATGTTAATTCATCTGAAACAATATCAACAAAATACCAAAGATTAAAAGAAACACCTCTTACAGTGCTACTACAATATTGAGACATTGTAAACTTCATGTATTCACTGCAGGGCTGTACACGTGTTCCGCTACTGTTTAAATGATCACAGGTCTGTAAAATGACCCATCAAACTGTCTGATGTGCATGACTTGAAACTACATGTCTGACAGGTGATATACTGAACAGAGCCACATCTGTATAATCACATTTTGATACGTCAGACAACAACACCATCAATCACATTTGAAAACAATGTAAAAGCCTATGATATGATCAATTAAAACTCAATTAGAATGGCACTCAGTTGAGCACATAGCTCCACCAAGGGCTCTATCACACTATGTTGATAGAAGTGATAAAAAATATTCCTGGATCTGCTGCTTGGTCTGCATTTGGCCAAAATGTATTAACATACAGTGGCAGAAAACTTCCTACCCCCATCCGACACCACATGTGAATCTGCCGCTACATCCAGATTTCCATACCCAATTCCACAAACTCAAAGATGGCGTTCGCCTCCATATTTTTTCTTCTATCAAGATCCACGACTTATTCCCTGGGAAAGTGGTGAAAATGTCAGAAAACGTTCTATCTCTCAATGTTAAATAAAGTGATTTAAGAAACATTCCTGGATCTGTCTCTTTGTCCGGATTCAAACCAACATTTAATGGTTCTTTCTTGGCCCATGTTGGCCCATCCTTTCACCAACTTTGTGGAAATCCGTTCAGTACTTTTTGTTTTCTGCTACCAATACAAACAAAGAAACCAACCAACAAATAAACAAACTGAGAGGGGTGGAAACATAACCTCCTTGGCAGATGTAATTTATATCTTTTGGCACTGGCATAAAATATAGGTCATGTCTGGTGTGAGTGCAGAAGCTTAACTCCAACTAAAAGTCTGCAAATTAAGTTTCACTTAAAGATACTTGACTCAGAGATTTAAACAACTTCAACTCAAACAACAACAACTCACTATTCGACGGCAGTAGAGATGCTGTGCTTACATGTACTAACATCACTAACATCATATAATCTTTGAAGTAGCTCACACCCTAACCTTTGGTATAATTCCATAAAACAGATGTACACACATCAAAACAAATCTCAAGAGGGCACAATTTACCCTTATCAAACCAAATGTATGTTAAAAGTCAGTAGGAAATGCATTGCATTTGAAAGTGTCAGTTTGTGTGTGTGTGTGTGTGTGTGTGTGTGTGTGTGTGTGTGTGTGTGTGTGTGTGTGTGTGTGTGTGAACCTCTGAACCTCTGAACTGGTCCACAAGGGGCACGGAGCATGATGACCTATGAGCACCCACACACATAAAATCACTGAGCATATTGCACTTAAATGTACACAACAA